GTTCGAAGCAGCTTTGCACCACCTTTCGACGCCCTTGTGAACAAACAGAGACCGATTGGAGCCTTCTCGTAGTGTAGTGGCCTCCTAGCACCATGGGCAGTTGCATCGCAGTGCTCGATGGAGCCTTCTCGACGAACTACAGCGGCGCCGACTCACAGGGAGAGGATGGAGAGAGCGCCGCGATTCTTCCGGTGGCGATTCAGGAGGAGAGAGACGAGAGAGGGTGGGTTTGGGGAAATGAGGTGGGTTTGGTAATTAATTAGGATTGAAATGCATATATTTATTTTATAAAAATATTAATTAAAATAAAGTATCTGATTTTGAAAATGTGAAACTTAAAATCTGATTTTGGAAATGTTGATACATAAAGAAATGTTTTGTGTAATTACCACAAGTTTCAATACAACCTATATAGACCAAAACAATCAAGGGCTTTGGGCTAGCCCACAATAAAACAAGCCCAACTATATAAAAGTAAATGGGCCAATATATACCAAGTTAGCCCATGACGGAGAAATGCTTCATGGTCATGGGATTGAATTCCACCCTTTCTTTCCCGCAGAGCGCTCTTCTTCCACCATCATTATCTCGCCTCATTCGCTTATGCACCAAAACAAATTCCATTTCCAAAGGGAAAGCAATTCATGCTCAGCTTATTATATCTGCGTCGAACCCAGATGTCCCGACAATTAATCATTTACTCTCGATGTATTTAAAACTGGGCCGCACTGACTATGCCCAGAAACTGTTCGAGCAAATGCCTGAAAGAAATGTTATCACTTGGGCAACGCTAATCTCCTCGTATTCTCAAATGGGTCTTTCAGAAAAGGCCTTAAATTGCCTTAGATTAATGGTTCTTGATGATGGGATTTCTCCAAATAATTATAGTTATGTTGGCGCCATAACGGCTTGTGCTAATATGCGCGCTTTGAGGACTGGGAAAGAAATACATGGGAAACTTTATAGGACTGAGGAGATTGCTAATAGCTTTGTTAGTAACTGTTTGGTTAACTTTTATGGGAAATGTGGGTTATTGAAGTCTGCTAGGCTAGTGTTTGATGGCATTTTAGAGCCCAATACAAGTAGTTGGGTTTCACTTATAGCTTGTTATTGCCAGTGCGGGGAGAATGAGGAAGGGTTGAGAATTTTCTTGAGGTCTTTAAGGACGGGAGTGAAGGTTAATGAGTTCTCTTATGGTAGCATTTCTGGGGCTTGTGCTGCCTTGGGGATGTTGGAGGTTGGAATGCAACTACAAGGCCTTGCTGTTAAGTGTGGTATTTTGATGGACCCGTATGTTGTGACAGGGTTGGTTAATTTTTATGCAAAATGTGGTGAGTTGGAGTTAGCGTACAAGGCTTTCAGAGAGGCAGATGAGCCGCACTTGACAGCTTGGACTGCATTGGTTGGGGGTTGTGTGCAGTTAGGAAAAGGCAGGCAAGCAATTGATCTTTTCCGTAAGTTGCTTTCAACGGGCTTGAAGCCAAGTGAGCAAACCTTGGCTTCAGTGCTTGGAGCCTTTGCAATTGAAAAGGAAGTTATAGGCGGGACACAGCTCCATAGTTTAATCATAAAGTCGGGATTTGATGCATTCACTTTTATTTGCAACGCGGTGTTGGATTTTTATGCAAAAAGTGATTATCTTGACGAGTCTTTGAGAACTTTTTGGGAAATGGATGCACGTGATGTTGTTAGTTGGAATGCCTTAATAGCTGGATGTGTGAACTCAGGTCACTATGAAGAAGCAATTAGATTCATCCAGAATATGTCTTTGGAGGGGTTCAATCCTAATCTTTACACGTATTCTAGTCTTTTAGGTATTTGTGGGGATTTGCCTGCAACTGAGTGGGGCAAGCAAACTCATTGCTGTGTCATAAAACCGGGATTCGATTCCAATGTGGTTGTTGGAAGTGCTCTTGTTGACATGTATGCTAAGTGTGGACGACTGGATGATGCTCAGAAAGTTTTTAATATTCTTCCTAATAAGAATTTGGTTTCCTGGAATTCCATGATTGGAGGGTATGCCCAACATGGGTTGTGGAAGGACGCTTTGGAGATTTATGACATTATGCTTAAAAACGGAGTTAAACCAAACGACATAACATTTATTGGAGTCTTATCTTCCTGTGGACATGTAGGACTTTTGGAGGAGGGTCTGCACATCTTTAATTCAATGGTCAAAGATTTCAAAATTATCCCAAAAACGGACCATATTGCTTGTATGGTCAGTCTATTTGCCCGCAAAGGACAAATGAGAGGAGCTTATGATTTCATAAGCCGTTTTCCTGGGCAGCTGGATAAAGTAGTTTGGCGCTCTCTTTTATCAGGATGTATAACTAACAAAGAATTGGAATTGGGTAAATATGCTGCTGAAAATATTTTGAGTATTGATCCAGATGATATGTCTGCCCACATCATGCTATCAAATATTTATGCTGATTCGAAGATGTGGAATGAGACATCCCAAATCAGGAAACTGATGAAAGAAAAGGCATTAAAGAAAGAGACGGGGTATAGTTGGATCGAATTACAGAACACTATATATTTGTTTTCTGCTGGTCATGATATGCTAGTACTGAGAAATGGGGTTGTTGAAGTTCTAAGTGGATTGACAGCCCAATTTTCTGATGCAGGATATGTTCCTGATGCCTTGGTCTCATTGGTAGATGGGGACTAAACAAAAACACGTAAATTGGACTCCTACTTCACCCTTGGTTGGTAGGTAATCAACTTCAGTTTACCAGAAAAAATCTGAAAACTGGAATATTGCCTCAAGGTTGTGATTGGTCTGGACAAAAAATATGTCCAAATGTTGGTCAACTCATGCCGAAGAGATCATATCCTGGTATTGTTAAATGAAGAGTTGTATGAAATGTATAGTTGAAAAATTCTTCAAAAATAACGCCATTATCCTGCAGGAAGGCGAATCTTAACACACACTGCCTGATACACAAAACAGGCTGACCAGTAATGTTAATTATAAGCTGATACCGACTGAAAGAGGAACAATGCCACTTTCTGAAGCTGTACACAGCATATATGCTCTTAGTGTTATCTTTAAGAGTATATGACATTTTTATTAGACCAAAATCAAATATGGTTTGTGGTGGTTGCGAAGGGTTTGTTTATATTGGATTTTCCGCTTAGTTGCAGCTAATAACAGGTTAGTATAAAAAATAATGATTGATTTAGTCGACTCGAAATTTATTGAAAAGAAGACTTGTTTTGTTGAACTGGTGTTCAGAGGAATGAGAATGACATACTTTTTGCCATTGTATTTAGTGATTCTTTCTTCCCTTTTCTATGTTAGTCTGATATAACAAAGTGATCTTTTTTTTATAAGATTTAGTTGATGCATATTGTGGCTCAAAGCTGGGCCAGCCTGCCAAGGTTTGGCACATTTGGAGAGAGGGTCGCGTTGGACTCGGTTCTCGAAGCTTGCAGCCGAACGAGCTTCTTTTATATTTTCCTTTTTTGGACATTACATGAGGAAATATGTGTGGGTAGCCCAAATATCATGCCATAATTTCAAAACGGAAAATTACTTAAAACCATGTACTTAAACTTCCAAATTCAAAATTCAGATATGAAGTTTATTTAATCAAAAATTAAGTATTAATTGGATATTTTGTTAATTTAAATAATATTATAATACTAATATTTCAAATAAATCCTAATTCATTTTCAATNTTTGTTGGGTTGTGATGTAGTGATGCCACTTTGTTGGCGGCAACGGGGGTGGTGGTGTCTCTGGGGCAGCGCAACGACGGGGTGGGGGTGTGCTGGCTGTGAACGGTTTAGGGGTGTTGGTTTGTGCGCCGTTGCACAAAGTTTTCCTTCTCACAGAAGATGGCAGCGATGTGAGCGGCCCTGCTCGCAGTATTCCGGTGGTTGTAATGTTGAGGCGGTAGTGGTTGTTTAGTGGTGCAGGTTGTTGGTAGGTTGCAAAATGGTGGTGGTGGTTCGTTTCTGTGGTGGTTGTGTGCTTCCTATGGCGACGATGGTGTGTTTCCATTGGTGGTGGTGCGACGGTGCAGTAGAGATGGTGATGTTGGTGCAGTGGATCTAGGTGGTGTAGTGATTTGTTGGCAGTGATATTGTTGTTGGTAGTGTTGTAGTGCTGTGACGGTGGCGGCAGGTGAGGGTGGTTGCAAGTGGCTGTAGTTTGGTGGTTGTGTTGTTTTCAGTTTGTAAATGGTAGGTAGTGTTGTAGTGCTGTGGCGGCAGTGGTGGCGGGTGAGGGTGGTTGCAAGTAGCTGTAGTGGCCATGCTGGTAGTGTTGGAAGGGTGATCGAAAGTGGCCATAGTAGTAGTAGCGGTGGTCTGTGACCAAATGTTTGGTAGTCTATCACCAACTGTTTGGTAATCTGTGAGCAATTACTCAACTGTGACCTAAAAATTTAATAATATGTGACTCAAAAATAACATGTAACCAACTAATTTAAAAATATGTGACCTCGAAATAATTTGTGACCTCGAAATAATTTGTGACCTCAAAATAATCTGTGATCAATTAATTTTAAAATATGTGACATGTGACCTATAATTAATTTGGAAATCTGTAACTGTGTGACCTATAAATTTTGATCTGTGACCAACTAATTTTGAAATCTGTGACCAACGAATTAATTGTGACCTACAAAATTTTTGAGCTGTGACCGTAAATTGTAAATCTATGACCAAAATGGTCACCAAAATAGTCGTCGGAATAATTGTCGAAATCGGAGCAGTTGTCGGAACGGTCGTCGGAACATTCGCCGGAGAAGAGTGGTGGTCGGAATGGTCGTCGGAATAGTCCCGGAGCGGTATAGGTGGTGCATGTGTGATGTGTTAATTATATTATATTGGAATTTTAAATATTTAATAATAAATTTATTTAATAATTTATTATTTCATAAATAAAAATAAAAAAACCCGATTTTTAAATTTTCAAACTATAAACTTTATTTTTGAATTGGTGTAAAGTATACACCTTATTTATGAATTTTTCCCATTCCAAAATGGCTTTTGACTCTTCTAAACAATTGAAACTACCTAAAATACTCCAAGTATAATAATTACATCTAAGTTACCAAAATACGAAAGAATACAATCAAGTCCTAAAGAATTAAAACATCATAAAATGACTTATAAAAAATAAGATCTAAAAGATGACCATATAAGATTAAGAAAATT